TTTTGTTGTTGTTTTTAGGTCTTTTTCTCAAAATTTCCCGTTGGGTGCCCCTGCATGAACTGCAAAGGACCGCAAACGTAGGATCTATAAAAGACCTGATCAGCAAAAATATACAAAGTAGACATATTGAATTCTGCCAAGCTGGTCGTACTTAAATTAACTTTTCAAGACATCAGTACGATCAACTTTGCACAATTCAATATGTCTACTGTGTATTACATATTTTGCTGATCAGGTCTTCTACAGATCCTACGTTCCTACCCACCAACTAATCTCCTCTTTGAAAACTAAAAAAACGTTCGTGATATTAATCTTGGGGGGGGGGGAGCCCTAGTTAATCAATAAAAAGGGGGAAGAGGGGGGGCGGAAGTTTTTTGGCTCAAGTGACGTTTCGCTGCTATGTTTTTGTCGGGGTGAAAAAAGCTTATAGTGTGTTGAGGCAAATATTGAAGTGATATTTCAGTGATTACCCAAAAAGTGAGGAAAAGGTAACTGAATAGATGGGGAGTTATTTCCAGTTCTTCTATGGAAAACGTCGTTGGAGTGCGCCGTTTCATTTACATTCACACCAGAACAACATGTTTTTTTTTTATTTACGAATGGTCAAGGATTGTCTCCTAATCTGATATTCTCATAATCGTGCGGTTCTTTACATCTAACATTGAACTGGACTTACATGGTAAATAAATGTCCTGGAGCGTAGCCAGAAAATTCAGAAAAGGGGTGGTCGAGACAGGACATTTGCCAGCTATATATATACTTTTTTGTTTTACTGAAAATTCATTTAAAATGAAAATAAGGGGCCTGCGTTTCCCTCGACCCCACCCCTAAATCCACCCATCCATGAAATATGGGTTCTTTCTGCAGGTACCGGTGTCGTAGCATAATTAGGCTAATTGAGCAACAGAAATGTATTTATCATGAGTTATGTAACTTTTTCTTTGGGGTAGTACATGGTATGCTGTTCTGTTGCTTCATTAGCGGTAGGCTATATATTTGAGTTGTTCTCATTTATATTCATTCGCGTCTTACGACCGTCCCTACGCCCTCAAAATTAAATACCCAGTGATCAGGGGTTTCTCTTAGACGTAGTTTTTTGCATGCTGCTATATGAAAAGTTTAGCACGTTTTGTATGTTTACTGAATCATTGTTATACGAGCATAGTTTAGATCATTTTGCTGGGTTGTTTTTCTTGCTGTAATTTTTTACATTTCCGAGTTTTCATTCTGTTTGTTGTATTATTTCCATCCATTCTGTTGATGAAGGCATAATAAAGAGGGTCGCACACGGCTCGTGTTGACACACCCCAATTGAGGTTGCTTGTTACATGATAAATGTTTTATATTCGTTTGAGCGGGGTAGCAAATTAGAATATAACGGGAACGTCATTTGACGGCGGGAAAGCGCGCGGAAAGGACTAAACTCGACTTCCGGTACCCAATTTGCCGCTATGCCATTGGTCAAGCTAGTTGTTTGATTTGCGCGAGAAGTCGTCAACGGACGTTCCCGTTCTGTTGCTAAATCAGCCTAATGCACCTTCTAGGACCAACTTCGCTAGTATATGTGGACCCCTTGTGTAAATTTGGACTCTAAAAACAAGTTTTTTTCCCTTTCGATTTGCAAAGTAGCTTGCTTTAACAGACACCTTTTCGTCTTTTGTTTCACTCGACGAGAGGAGGGTGGCGCAACTTTTCGGGTGGAGAGAGGCGACAACCGGAAAACGGCTACGTTCGCGGGCTATTTCCAAAGTGTTCTTGGGTTGTATAATAGCAAAATAAAAATTACACTAGCTGAAAAGATATTTCTTGGAAAAGTGGCAACCCTTTGCTAAAGTGACGCACAGGTGCATAAGCTTATGAGGCGCTATAACGAAAAACAGAGGAAGTCAGGAATGAAGATAGCCTATTTCGGAATAAATAAATAAATAATAACTAAACTAAAACAAAATTGACCGTTATTTTATTCAAGGGATAAATAATGGGTGGACTATATTTTCAGTCCCCACAAGTTCGGCTGAAAGAGTCTTTTTATTGCGGCAGCCAAGATTCGATAAATTTTAGTAACATGCAGTGACGTCTCCAGGCGACTTATACCAGACTGTACCAGACTGGTAGTGGGACAGTAGAGTGGCCAAGAGAACATCGCAGTTCTGTTACCAATTACTTCTGTCCATATCAGTAATAAGTTAACAAAAGGTCAAGTTCTTATTACGTTATGATCATGCAGCTTATAATTTGCTTTGTTGCATTGTAAACTTTAGTGGGGGTAACTGTACAGCCCCTGAAATGACCCCGACCCCGAAATGATCCTCAACCCTTAAATGATCCCCAATTTCACCCCGAAATGATCCCCATTTCAAGGTTGGGGACATTTCGGGGGCTGTACAGCTACTCCCAATAATGGCGTACAATGGAAGGCTCCGCCCAAAAGGGGTACCTTTTTCAGGCTTTATGTATATGAAAGGGTAAGCAAATCTGTCATTTACCTATTTAAAAAGGACCAAAGACTGAAAGAGGCTAACAGGCGCATTTATGGTGGCGAGAAAGTCGAGAAAACTTTCTGGTTTTGAGATTTATTCTTAAATTAAGTCAGTGCATTTACAGCAGTTAAGAGATTCAATGTTCTGACCAAGGTATGTAAAAGGTGTATCATTTGTCAATCTGAGAAGGTAAACGATGGCGGTACCTTTTCTCCCAAAAATGGTGTATAACAGGGTAAGGGGGGTTGGCCCTCGGGGCTGAGCCTTCTCGTATAAAATTTGTTGAGTAGCCCTCGGGTTCTATATATGCTTCGGCGCTTTCTAGTTTATAAATTAATAGTGTTAACCAGGTTGTCAAATTCTTAAGAAGACACATCTAAATATAAGTCATTGGACCAGTTTATCTCGTCCAGATTTGTTTTCAAGTTGTAACTAAGCAACCTACGCACTTAAGAAAGGTTTTTCGGCCTTGATTTTGACTGGTTAGCATGAGCTAGGAAGTTGATCACACCGAGGGGTCCACCTGTCACGTAAGGTCTGGGTCACAATGTTACCTTCGGCCAATCAGATCAGAGTAGGATTTCAAGAAATGTCGGAAGAGATCAGCGTAGTTGGTATGAACTACATGTTAGCACACCATATAGAGAGAACTCTGCATTCCCATCTAAAACTAATAATGAGTTTAAAGCAGACGGCATTTATTTTTAAGGAAAATTCTAGCAAACATTGTGAAGCGGACACCTAAACTTGCCGAAGTAAATACTTCCGAAGGTGTTTGGACAGTCTTGAAAAAAAATAATCTACTTAATTTTCTTTCCGTTTGAAGCCGAAGAACGAAAACATTTGTGAGCAAGCTTGTGCCTTGGAGAATAACTTGTTCGTTCCGGGTGATGGACGTAATCTTAGTCATAATCTAATGAATACATTCCCAATTTAATAGTAATTCGTTTGATTTTGTCCCTACTTCTAAGAAGCGCACCTAGATTATGTTCCCAAACTAAATAAATTTTCTGGTGAAAACTCTTTGTCAGCTTGCCAGGCTTAACCGCAAATCAATCGAGCGGCTCTTGATAGCTCATCATCACATGGAGCGCCACCTCCGTTGTCACTGTCAGACTCCTCTTCATCACTCTCATCGTCATCATCATCATCATCATCTTCACTATCACCACCACCACCACCACCACCAGTTGGACACCTTCTCCTCTCAAATTCCAGGATCAGGAGGTTTTTACGGTCTCCAGTTAACAAATCAAAGGCCGGTATGTTTATGTCGTTTATGTCTTCAGAAGGACTAACTCCTAGACCGATAACTCTAGTGTTGAAGTTCTGAAAAATCGTAAAGAAAAAGTGAATGACATAAAGTGTCATAAAAATGTTCATAAATAAAGAAAGTTCACGCTTAATTGAAACTTACTGGTAGTCTCTACACTATACTCTTAAGTCAAGGCTTAAGACCCGCTAAGCTGAGCATATGCATGACAAAACACTTCATACAAATGCAGGAAAACGTGACTGAGAACGGAACGGCGTACTGAAGGGTCTCAATGAATCTAACGGCTGGCCGCAGAATGTCAAGAAAGTTTAGTCGTCAAACAAAGTTAACAGTTAACACTTAATTGCTTGAAAATAGTTAAATGTCTCGTATCTGGAGGCTGATCGATCCAACGTCAGCCTTCCTCGTGCCCCGGGAAATGGTTCTTGGCCTTAAACCTTAAAATGTGTTTTTCAACGAATGAAATTAATTTTGAACTAATGAAACAACTGATTACTATTTCAGTTCAATGTCAACCGTAATAGAAATGAATTAATCGTTGGCAGTGTAAAAACCGAAACATCAACCGTGCAACGCAAATGCTTCCACCGCATTCGTCACTTTAGAAACGAAAAGGAGACTGGGACGAGTTAACTTTCGCTAAGACCTCTGGGGCTGTCACTAAGGAAACGGAGGAAAAAAAATTGGCCAACAGCTGACCTGCGCGTCCCCAGTAACAATCCCAGAAACAATTGCGGAACGTATTTCGCCTCAGGTTCTCTTCTAGCCTGTTCCAGGCTCCGAGATAGTGAAAAGTCGTCGTTCAAAAATAAGACAACGCGCGGGGGCTGGGGAGAGAGTCGCGCGCGTCTTATTTTCGCTTTGCTCGTTTAATACGTCCCCACTATACTATCTGAGAGCCTGGCACAGGCTAGTTCTCTTCTCGTTATTAAAGTAGTTAATTGAGCCGTTTTTTAATACTACGAGAAATTGATGATACAGTTAGAGGTCGTATTATATCCAGCTTCGGATGTTGACGCCTGTTGACGCCACAAAAAGGATCGTAATAATAATTAAATAATAATAATAATTTACATTTATAGTGTGCAATTTTCCATAAAAATGTTCCAATGCGCATCATATCTAGAATGAGTCCCTGATAAGAAGCCAATCCCATTCTCGGTTCCAGTGTTTCCCTGGATCCCATTAGGAAGGGCTCTGGGAACAAAATTGACCCAATCCGCTATTTTATTCCCAGTTTTGGCCAGTCCTAGAAGTGTATGTTTTCTACTTACCGCTCTCAAATCCGCTGCTGGTTGGGTTATAAACCTGCGACCACCTAGATTTACTCCATCAGTCACAAACACGGCCACACGCTCTGCGTTATTACGGACAGTCGACTCATTAAAAAGTCTTGAAGCTTCTGCTATTGCCACCGTTATTAAAGTCGCTCCAAGGGTCAGATTTACATTGCTTATTTGTTCCCTGACACCTGCGAGAGACTGGGCTCCAGCCTGGTCAAAGCTATTGACATTCGTCGAGCGAGGCTCTTGATCAAAACCAAATACCACTATTCGCGCAGCATTGTTTGTGATAGTGAATTCTCCCACCAATTCGTTGAGAAACGTTTGGATCTGAGTGAAATTGTCGCTCAAGCTTCCTGAAACGTCTACGGCAATTGCAATGTCCAGCGCTCTTGTACATACTAAGCAGAAAAGAGAAAATATACGACAACAGCTTTACATACCAACACGCTCACAGTCGGTATATCATAGTAAGACAATATGCCAGGTAAATTGTTGAGTAATACAAGCAGTATAGGAACTTTTAAAGAACACGTAAAAAGACGATTACCTTCCGGAAGTTAAGACTAAGGAAGTTAAGGCTGTTGAGTACTTCCTGTATATTTCGAGTATTCCTAAAATTTCCCAGTAGCTTACTAACTAGTAAAAAGTAAACGAGAAGCACATTTCTATTTCTTGTCTTAAACCTTCGCACGTTTCTACTGTTGACGTAACTGCGTTTAATTATCTCGATAAAACACGCGCGTTAATTATAAGTAGGGCGCCTGTGCTTTACAACGCACGCGCGTCAGGCGTTTATAATTAAGTGAGACTGGGTCAAACAGCTCGACTGAGAAACTGAGATAAAAAATACGAGCTCAACATGGCGATGACATAGAAATCTACTCATGAAATGAATGTATTTTATCTTGTCTAATTGTTTTTTGCAATATACTTAATAGGTCCCAAATAAATGTAAGACAAGACGCACATTGTAGTTCATGGGCTCTTGGAGTTAGCGTTTCTGATCACCACTGAAGACCCATAGAGAAAGAATCGTAAATCCATACTGATGACAAAGGAATAACGAGAAAAATTGCCAACCGGTTCAACTCCTGTAAGATGTAATAACAAACCTTCATGTTTTTTTGTTAAACCACATTTATGGAGCTTGACGAACGCTTTCAAGAAAAATAAAAACTACGGCTGGTATTAACATTTTATTACTTAAAGCGTGGGAAGTTAATAGTCTTAACTTCTTCAGTCTGAGGAAACTTGACGTTCATTAGTGAGTATATATTGTTAAAGTATTTCAGTGGGGTAACGTGAGAGTATACCATATTGCTGCAAAAAACAATTGTGATTTCGGACACTTTTGAAAACGAAGATGTTTTTCTCCCTATTTCGAAAACCGCAAAACGCGTCCACACGTAGCGTATTCGAATGTCTTTCGCCCGTCTAGCCTTCCACACTAAAACGCTAAAACAATGGAAATACGATAGCATTTCCGTCCTTACAGGGCATGAGCAGTGTGATGTATGACATCATCGTTTTAGAAAACCTCCATTTTCCTCCGTCCACGCGAAAACGAGAAGCTGGCGTTTTTGGTGACCGAAAACACCGTTTACGGGTAGACGGACGGCTAAAACGGAAAGAAAAAAATCTCGGTTTTCACAAAGATCTGGATACGTGTAGACGGGGTGGGTACGCAACTATTGAGCAATAGGTCCTTGACTGAGGAGATAACGACAAATTCCAACGTTGGAAGTTGAAAATCGCCAACTAATATCGAGCCAGAAACGTGCTTCAGCTCGAGTGTTTCTTCAAGATACAAAGAAGAAAATGTGAAATAGAAATTTGAGCAGATGTTCAATGTAATTTGTTTTTGTGAACGTACGAGAATTCTAATTCTTTTCAATAAATCTTTAACGTACCTTGTTACACTTCGCAAAAAACGACAAAACTTTGGTTCAGTTTTATCAAGTCAATTCAGCCCGCGGGCAAAACGGATTGAAAAGCTGACGAGGAGGTATCGTGATCGAGTGGTTAGAGCGTTGTAATTGTAATCTGGAGACCCGGAGTTTAAGCGGTCCCTTGCTGATCACTAGCTGGATTTGTTCTCGGTAGTCCCGGGTTCAAAAACTCCTCAGTCATGCTTGTAAAATAGCCAACTGGTTTGCCTTCGGCCAGTTGGAGTACTTAACCTTGTTTTCTATATATTTCAAGTATTTGTTTTAGTCTGTCCTTATTGCGGGCCGCAGTGAAAACCATAAAGTCACTTTTTTCCAGTAGGGCTGGCTCTTCATACAAATGAGATCTTCACTTCATCACGTACTGACACTGCATCTCAAGGTTTCTTTTTAAACCGACCACTCCAGTCATAAAAAATCTCGAAGCGTCGTCTTAAATGTCTTTACTGTGGCGTATTTACTTTATAACTGAACTCAGTTAAAACCAATTTTTTTACTCTCTCTACCAACAACGCATCATTAAAGTTTCTTTAGCGACTAAACAATTTGTCCAGCTGTGTTTTGTGCATAACGTAAAATAAATGTAGACTAAAAACGTTTCGATACATCAGACATATCTATCTCTAGTTATTTAGAAATATTTCGTACATAGCCCCTAATATAAGATAAAATAGAAAGGGCTGCAAGTATGCTTTTCATGTCATTGAAAACAATGTCAGTAATATCGTGTGGAGAAAAAGCGAGAAAACACTACCAAGATTCAAGTTCAGTCTTCAACGACACTTTATCTCCAATTCAGTACGAAGGCCTATTGCCTGATAACGGAACAGGGAAAAGGCAACCGTGACATCGCATTTTTTACAGTAAAGTTATCGAAAACAGGATCACCAACTAATGAAAACACGGTTATATTGCCCAAGAAAAGCACACGTAACATGCAACGAATCAGTTTATGAAAAACAATAAAATAGCAAGTGAAAATACTATTAGACGGTCTTTGTTAAAGACACTTTTCCTTAGATCAGTCAATTAAATTCATTCCTTATTTTGTTGTCTACAAAAAGAGATAGACCACAAGCTATTGAGTTTAATGAGTAAACATCTTTTTTCGTTCTTAATATTTTTAGTTGACGGCTTGATTTTAAAAGTCAGTTATTCCTTTAAAAAAAGAAATGATTTGTTCGTACTAACTCGTGACGAGTTTTAATTCAGAAGTCAAATATTGTTAATGGCAATGATATCACATTTTGCCAAAACAACTCTCCTTTGTTAAAACATCATGATGATCGAAAAGAAATATAAAAGATTAAAAACAAATGTTAAACAACCTCATTCAAGCTTTGTGTTAATGAGTTCTGAGCTAAAGTAAAACATTGGTTTATTATGTGTAGTGAGAATTTCAAAGCCATTCTATCTTTGGACGTTTGTACAATGAACTTCGGTATTGTTGCATTCAACGAAGCGGAAAAATATAATTTACTATTCATTTACTCCTACTTGTCAAAGAAAAATCCCAGCTGGCTCGAATAAAACACACCAAAGTTCAGTGAAACCTGATTTACCAGGGAAAGGGTTTCTAAAAAAGGTGATGATCTTTTAACTGAGCTGCTGGTTCGTTGTAACTGCGAAAACATTATATCAAGTTTCTCTCACATCACGTCAATCTTGCTGGGGCGAAAAACACTCATCCATTAAACTGGGGTGATTGTTATACATGTATCTGGGCTTTCACACATTGCATTGTTCAAGTCGTTCAAGTATATGGCTTGCTTTTGTGACACTTTCCCTTCTCTCCCCCCGTTACACGCATTGCCATAGTCCGTCAGTTCCGGGCAACATTTTTGTCGTTAACCAAGACATTAAGCGCTAATTGCAATGTAGCAAGTATAGCTCCGTATTCCGGACTACAGGAAGTCTAACTAAGAGGTGGAAGTGGTTAATACTGCGGTGAAAGAACTTTGTGAGTTTGCGGCAACTTTGTGGGGGAGTACCAAACCGGTACGAGATGGTAAGCACGATGTTTAAAACTACTATAGAAAACTCCTCATTAAATTTTAGAAAACACGAGACTAGACCATATTATGGAGCTGAGATGTCCGGATTTACTGCTAGATTAAGCTTCCTTTTGAATGCACACATCACGTGTGAATACCTGGTACAGGATCACGGAAACGCACCGCTCAGTGCGGGCTCAGCTTTCACACGGTCTCACACGGCATATGACTCACAGATCACTAATGGTATCAGTTGTCCAATAAGCAACGAACACCATGCCCAAATTTTGCTGTGATCTGTGCTGTTTATAAACAATTTGACTTTGCGTTCCATTTTCATCAGTTGTCATGATATAGCAGCTTGAATCAATTTTTGACTAGCCCAACTCTCCGTTTGTTTCAACGTCCAAGATGAAAGGATAGCATTTTCCCCGATCCCGCTGCAAAATACGCCTACTTTGGAGGCTATACATACGCCGATCATTAAATCCAAGTATTGTTCTTTCCCGTCATCACAAGTCAAATTCGTTAAAAGTCAGAAAAGCCTCCTTAAGAGCTTTCGGGGCACAAGATTTAATGGTACTTCATAACATGCACTCAAATTAACAATGGATGTTGTTTTGTTGGCAAGACAACTTATATTATAACATGTTATATCAAGGGAGGGTTTTGTCTCTTTTAGCCAAAATTCATAAATTGGAAAGACAAAGCCTTAAGCTTGGTTTCAGAAGTCAAGTCTAGAAAACAGCGCATTGAAAATTACTCATATTACGTATTACGTAATATCACCAGAGTATAATACCATCAACTGACGTAATACAACTCACTTTGAGTCTGAAGATGACTACCGCACAGGTTGTGGAAACGTCAGTCACTGTCACTGTCAACAACAACAGTCCTATTCAAGACTACGTTCACACGGACGATCAAACTCAACCTACTTTTGTAATATATTAAGTTACTCTTTAGATTCGTTCGTGGCGAGCAAATATAAAAACGTAAACCTTCTAGTAAATTCTGTCTGCTGTTATAAAACTCCCTGCTTCGCTAAACTGGCGTCTTGTTTCGCTTATTTAATCAGGGGCACCCGACGTCGATTTTTGGAAAATATCTGTTCGAAAGACGATTTGAGATCTAGAATTTTCGGAACATTTGTTGTAAAATTTCTTGCTTGCCTGCCTCTCCTAGGATTTTCGAACACCTAAAAAATGGTACTGTTGCCAATTTTAACGGATTTTTAACCTAAAAAGGTCACCTAAAATTTTCGGAAGCCTTTTTTCTGGCTGAAAAAAGCTTTCCTAGCTTTCAGCTAGGAAATCCGAACAGATGAAAAAATTTTAGGGGATAAAAATATGCCTTTATCTACCTTTTACATGTAAATATAAAAATACGTTTAACAATGCAATTTTTGAGTGGTTTTGAACTATATTCTCGTTGGGTGCCCCTGTGAACATTTTCCCACATAAATTAGATTAACTGACATCTCTCTAGTATTTTTTAAGTACCATTGACAACTATTCTTTGACTAGCGCGAGGTTTGGTCTTTCGTAAACGATATTAAATGAACTACCTCCCACCGAACACTGGGAAAATATCATGAGTGCTTTCAAACACGAACCCTCGCATTATAAATTTGCATATGCAGTTCGTGCATCAATAACATGATCAAAGGTATAAGTTTTAAGGCAAAACCATACATACAAATTGAATGTTCATCTCTATGTTGCCAAAAGACAAACAAAGTTGTAGGCTTATAAGCTTAACTGAAAAGTGGTTACTGTAAGGACGATCCACTTTAGCCTTATTCGTGATGATTGTCAAAACAACTTCCCCTTAAAAGAAAAGTTATTACACACTTATTTAAAATAATTCCTATAATAATTAGATTTCCAGTTTCGTTTTGAGCATGCCTAAAGAAACTAAGTCATCGTAGCTCGGTTTGGTAGAGAAATACCCGCTGTCATAGTCCATCCAGTTGAATTAAAGGAAGCTTATTGAAAGAGTACGTAGATTCGCTTACTTACCAAACCTCTGGCCACTGGCCTTCCCACAAGCGCATAAAACGGCAAGCCAAAGAATAACTCTTTCAACTGAAACGTGAAAGAAAAAGAGCAAAAAATGTTTCATCATTGACTTTCTTATTCCAGTAAGTGAGTTTTTACGAAGCTTGCAGTACACTTAGCAAGGCCTACTTACTTGATCTGTCCATCATGGTTATCAGCACAGAACAGTTGCAAGCAACAACTATCAACTACTTCATTCAGGGAATAAATACATCATTTCCTGCTATTTAGAGCATGCGAGATACTTAGAAACCGTCAGTCACCCATTTTTTATTGCCGATCTGTATTGCTTCAATAGGATACCTCCAAAACAATATTATAGATACGTATAGTACGCAAAATATATCATATTCCACTGACCGGAAACTTAAAATCGGCAAGATCATCATAATATCAAACTAAAGTCAAAGAATTTCAACTTAATAACAAGGGTCAGTTTGACAAATTTTTTAAAACAGAAAATTTAACATATTATTTCAAACTTTGTTTTCAAGTTCATGAGCTATTACAAAGCAGACACATTCTTAGCGTGGGAACTGAAGAGGGCCGACAAATCGTAATTTCCGTTATACACAATTTGCAACAAGTCTTTTAAGCAATGTCTTAATTGTTTTTGATTAATTGCTGTGACGAAACAGAATGAAATATGAGCAGGAGTACTTAGTTCTCGATTTGCGTTGATCAGTGGCAAACACTCCTTCATCTTTGACACAAACAACAATAGTTTTGTAATAAAGTTAAGAGGAACAACATCACTACATATTTTTGTCTTGGTAAATGAAAACTTCCATTTTTCAGTGTAGCCGAGTACATTCTAATAAAGATTTAGTTTTTTGTGATATCGACTTGTTCTGTCGGTAGACCCCCAAGTTAATTGAAAATGATGTTCATTTAAAATTTAATCAATCAATTAATTAATCAATCGGTCAAATATCCACAATTCTCCAAAACTAATAACAGAAAATAATGGACCATTGTACAATTTTTTCTTAACTCACGGAGCGATATAAGCTAAAAAACCACTGTACCAATTGAATGAAACTCCTTTCACACTCTTCTCATTTTATAAGTCGATCCTCGGTAGAACTATTTCCTTACAACGTAATGGAGTATATCTAACTACTTTTATCTCGAAAAATATAACGTTTTTTTTAACGTTTTTTTGTGACTCAGCAGAGACACCCTCTACCCCACTTGCGAAACCAGAACCAACATTAAGTTAAAACTCCGTGTCAGGACCCCATCAGCTCCTGTCCGTGTCAAGTGTTTTTGGAATTGCTGTTGCCTTTCAAGCCAGAAACTACTGCTAACACTACCCTAAACTTTCAACATTGTTAGAGCAGTAGTGTTCAGTATTGCTGTGTCCGTTTTATTCCAAAGGCCCCCCACAGGGCGGGTACTCAACAAAATCGCCACCCTTTCATATACCTGAAACCTAAAAAGGTATTTGTATCCCTTTCGGGCTGAGCACGGGCGCTACGTACAGGTCACTATAGGGAGTACCTCCCACGGGCTAAGCCCTTTTCCTCGCGTTGAGATGCCGGGGTGGGCCATCGCCAAATGACGTTTATACTCATAAGAGTTGAAACGACACTGACAATATCACACTGCTACATAACAAAAACAGACGCAACAATAGTTTCAGCCACACTAACAAACACCCTTTTTCACTTGACTATCTAATCTTTCGTGGAACTTGTCTCTCAAAGGCCTAGCATATTTCGCAAAAATGCCTAAGCGTTTCCTGTAAGGACTTAGTGTTATAAGTAGATGTCGGTTTGTCAATTTTTGCAACAATCCTCCAATCGCCCAATACGCTGGGAAAAAGCTTTCTTCGTTCGACGTGTAAAAATTTATATGCCCAGCGCAAGCAGTCCGTTATAGTAACGATTTTATTGAGTCAAAAAGAGCCTAAGTATCTTTGGTACGGTCAGTGGGGAGAAGAAAAAGCTTGAAACAAAAAAAGAATCGGGGTTTGAAATAAATGCTTGAGTTGTTTTAGAAAAAAGTATGTTAAAAAGTCAGGCTTTTACAGAAACCCATTACACCACGATAACGATACAGCGTGCTAAGCAACTAAACTATCAAGCCAATTGGGAACCAGGCAGCTGGTCATTTTGTGAGTTCGTTATATAACCGAAGACGATGAAGATATGAAAGTCCGTGAAAAAATAAAATTTTCGTATATTTAGACAACAGGAGAAAGATTCAACACGTAAAAGATAATCGCACTATCTAACAAACCCTGTTATGCTAGGCTATACATTATTCCCGAAGAGTTTATGCTTAACAACTGCAGCCGAGCCGGATCTTTGGGTGTGCCATGGTGATCGCACCTCCGCGATACCAAGAACCTAACGGATATTTTGTCCTCAGGGTAATAAAGTGCGGCCTAATGATTTCTTCTGTGTGGAAATAAGAAAGAAAATTCACAGCTTAATTATATGCTCAATAAATACAGCTATTTCCAGAGAGGTTGTCGGAAAAAGTGCACGCGACAATCCCGAAAGGTATTGTGGATGGTTTTGAGTCCGATGTTCCTCAAAGAAATTTGAAAGAATTGCACTAGTGGCCATGGACGTATGTTTGCGCGTGCTAAAGGAAAGCAACAAAAGACGTTTTGACAGCTACAGTGTCTGGAACAGTGTATTGATCATATCCCATATTACCTTTCGGGATCATCGCGTGCACATTTTTGCCGACAACCTTTCTCGAAATAGCTGTATACGTCATGGGCACTTGTGCGGCGTAAATTTTATTCGCAGCCTTTTACAAAGTGACAAAGAATTGTTCAAAAAGACAGCAGGTAAATATTGAATATAGAATGAAAATGACACATAGCCTAGTTCTGCTTGTAGACGGCAAATTAACGGTTTTTCAATCTGCATGTCAGTTCCGCTAAGGGCGCTTGTAGAGATCGCCCAAATTGTCGAGTCAGGACGATTTGTGGTTTGCGGCAGTAGCGGCCAGTAATGGTTTCCCATCCGAGTTTGGCTCAATCATACACTGGACCAATTTTACATGTAATTCTCAGCATATCAAAAAACAAAAATCAAGCTCATAATAAACATCATTGATATAATGTATTTACTAAATAACTACATCGTAAGAATAAGGCTGGATTCGATATGAAGAACTATGCAGATAATTCTTCATATCAAACTCAGCCGCATTCAACAACTGTTAGATAATAAACAGTAGCACAACACGTACAAAAAAATCTCTTAATTCGACAGTTTCTAATTTCGTGTTTGAAAAAAAGCGAGAAAACAATAAAGGTTAAGATTAGTAATGTTGGTTTAACATTTTGAAATTCAGGTCTCCTTTTCACAGTGTATGTAGCTTACAACAACTTATTCTCGACCAGTTTTCCAGGTGTTTCAAACGTTTACCTTTCTGAAGCTATTATTCTAAAATGAAAGTCGTGTTATTTCGTCTTCTTCAAACTGTAAAAATTTTCTAAATTTGTGATTAGTGTTTGGACTTTAACACCTTTCTGATTAAATTTATTCAAGAACTGAAGTATTTTGGATTTAAAAACAGTTTATGTTCTAAATTGGTATTATTTGGGGGACAACAAGTGACCATGTAGAAAAAGAAACCATAAAGCGCCGATTGGTCGAAAATATCTCCCTACCTCATAAAATGGAAGTAAACGTTTTGTTCCGTCCTCTTCGACGGAGATGTCAAAGAAAACCATGGTCAGTATGAATCGTTTCTTAGTAACCGCTAAATGCTATTTTTGCCTTCTGACTCGTTATACCCATTATATTCGACTGTCGAAAACCAAGTCGCGGTAATGAAGGCGGGGGCGGTAGTCATATAAAAGACGAATCTAAAAATATCGTAGCAAAGGAATTTCTGATGTCGCTTTTTGTTTATGCATAAATAACATGCGGTTTTCCCTGGTTAATGGGAGAGAAATTCTAGGATGACTTAGGGGTATTTGACAACTGGGCTTAAAAAAGCTGAGAAGCTAGATTTTTGCCGTACCGAAGCGGAAGTAATTATAAGGGCTGGTTATTGTTCCAAGGGAATATTGATTGCTTGGAGGTAACGTCACGAAGGTGGGAGAGAAAAAAAACGAGAGATAGAGTCCCTGAAAGGATTCAGGGCATGCGCTTTAAAAACGGAGCTGATGTAGCTTGCGAGCTGCAAGATCTCCATTTTAAAACTGTTGAGCAATCATTAAGAGAAACGAAAGAGAGTAAATACAATTTATTAAAAATCTCTTGAAATAAATAAACAATATTCTAAATTGAATAACTACATTAAAAATAATCTTGTAATCATGATTCCTAAAAATACTTTACAGACAACAAAACCTTGGTATTGTGAAATCGATCTCCCTCCATCAGAAGCTAAATTCAAAGCGACTGTTTCCTTAAATCCCCTAGACGGCCTTTTCCCTGCACGCATTGGATGTTATCGGCAGTAAAGTCTCTAAAGTATTAAAAAAAGTGGTGCGTTTCGATTCGTGTTCTTAATTCTGCTTGTCGCTGTATTGTTTGTCAAACTTATCAGTTTTTGTTTAGTCTGCTGTTGTTAGTTTTGCTCAAGGTCTTCAATAACGAAAGCTAGCGAAATCATTGTTATCAAATATCTTTGGCAGAACTTCTTTATCAAATGAATTTAACTTTGCAAAAATTTTTTGGGTTTGCCCTTAGTAGAACGGACCTCTTCTTGAAAGAGTGATGTTGGTTAACAACTAAAACTGGCAGCATTGTTATACGCCAGGGCAAATAGGCAATTTCCGAGTCGTCTCAAGCCTCTGTTTCAAAGCGAGGCTAATTGCAAAGCCGATGATTAGAAAATGACTTTTCATTCTCATGCAAATAAAACTGATTTTCACAAAAGGCTTTGCACTGGGATCCGTTTCAAAAGCACAATTCTTTGTAAAGACTGTGTAGAAGTCCCAAAAAATAGGACACGTGGTGAAAAATGGCATTGCCACTCCGCAGACTACGGGTGCATTCCATTATGTCAAAATTTTCTGAACATAATTTTGACCTGTAACAGATACACCAAACTTCCAAATTAAATGTTCAGTTGTCAACATTTTTCAAGCTCAAAATAACATGCAGTAATTACAAAGAAAAAACAATAACAATGAGATAATAAAACATAATTTCGGTCGAAATATAGATAGAACGCTTTGGTCCAGGGAAGAGTAGCTCGCCTTCAGTTGAGATCCTTCTGACCGGACACGATTAGCAATCAAGATTTCAGTCCAAACGTACATGGAACGCTTCAGTGCGGTTGGAAACTTTGCATCAACCGAAAAGTTCTCTTGGTTAGTTCCATTATTTCTGACCAGTCGGTGTGGCGGAATGGAAATCACCCTATATGTATGTCCTAAGCATTTAGCATGTATATAAAAACCAGTATTTATTCACTGACATTTCTTAACTCTTGGCAGCAGAGAGATGGCACAGGATCACAAGATGATGATAACACTGAGTCACCATTGCTTTCTTCAGAGTCCTCCTCAAGTCGTCTGTATGAAAGTGAAGTCTGTGTGACAGGAGGGTCAGCGTGCCTGGGCGTTGGCTTGAGATTGTACACAATCAGTCCAATTATAATAAATGTTAGGGATCCAAGGTAGAGAGCAGAGAACTGAAAGAAACATTTACATAAATAACAATAAGAGAAGAGCATTAAAATACGACAGTGGGTAGAGGGGAGGATTGTATTGCGGGAGGTCGTGAGTTCGGTATCGGGTCGTTTGACCCGAGGGTTGATTTGCCGGATGGCAGTTCGTCCAGACTAAGTCGATTCGCCCGATGTGAATTTGTTGTTCTTTAAGCCTGAGAAAAAGGAATAAGCATGGAAAGAGAGTGACTGCACATGTGGAATCCAAGGTTAACTAAAATAATGTCTCGGAGAAGTAGGTTCACCATGTTGTAGAGTGTTGTATGTCATCGGGCGAATCGACTTCAGTCCTAGCGAACGCCTTCGGGCGAAACGACCGCAATTCGTGGGTTCGATCCCCAGGGCCGGACGGGACCTGTACTCAGGGTCTTAAAATAACTGAGAAATGAGGGTACTGCCTTTTCCCTGCCAATGGCTAGACCTTCGCGTTGCTCGGATGACCACATGAAACGGCGGTCTCGTCTTCAGTAGGAGACGTACTAATAGTGTCCTCAGTTGGTACTTTCGAGATAAATACATTGGCACTCAGATTAAGTTACGCACTGTGTATTACCCATTATTTTTTTAAAATTGTCACAAAAGTATTTTACTTTTAACAGTGCAAAATCTTACAAAGAGACTGAATGTACATGCAAAAAAACTAACCTTATAACGGAATAGAAATATGCCACAAAGTAAGCTGTAAAAGTCTGCTGTAAGTAATGACAAGTTTACAACTGTAGCACTGCTAAACTGCATAGCAATTGGCATCAGGTTGTATAGTAGAAACAAACAAATAGCAAAACCAACAATGTATAATGCTGAAAACAAAAGAGAGAGTAGTATTAATATACTGATACATGTGACAACGAAATAATGATAATTATGGGCTGGCTATATGAGCAGACAAAATGAAGCAAATACTGTTTTCTGATTGGCTAAAGTGAACTCAGGATTACTTTCTTTGTTTCCACACAACGTTTTTAACTGCTATCATTCTTGCTCTTTTTGACACTTTTTTTTTTGGACAGAGACAACGTCATGGTCCATGAAAAAAAGGGCTAATATTCAATCATCTTGACTTTATGCTTGGTCAGTCAAGCATATTTATAGCAGATTAAGAATTTATAATCATTTAATAACAGTAAATAATAATAATAATAACAATAGCAAAAATAATGATAATAATTGAAATGTTAGATTCAAATTGCAATAACCTTCTATTACAATAATAACATATAATAGAAAATTCCAAATTTCCACAAACCAATTTTGTAGTTCCATTCTATTGCTAAAAGTTGATTTCTCTCAAGAATGATCCTGTGATAAAAAATGATAGTTTTTTGGTTAACTTTTTAACTTTCAGGCTAACTTAAATTAACCCCTGTAGATTTAGATGTTGAACTTATCAGTCAAATTTAAACCCCAATACAATGAGGACAAGAATGGCAAAAGGACCAAATATGTTCAAATAACTTATGTTTTTTTTTGGCACATATATAGTTAGAGGTCTGAACCAAATTAAGGTGTTCCAAATATTACTCTGTGTATTACAGTAGGCTCATAGAGTAGGATAACTTGGGTGCATAACAATGTGAACTGCTGAAAAAATGAACTCTAAGGTTTCATTTTGCATGTTTTAACAGCATCATACACCAAACCACTTGCAAGTAAGGCATGAAAATCTTGAAAACTTTTTCAATAAATTCTGCAATACAACTAATTAGGTTTAAGATACTCAAGTGTCCACTTCAGATTCCCATGGTTTTTTTTATGCATGGCAAATTTGGCACAAAATATATTGGGGTAAAGAAGCAGAACATACATGTAGCTGGGGCTTCTGGATCTACTGCCAAGATACAACCACATGCAGAGAAATTTATGATTACAATACATGTAATTAGGTTGTGGGACATTTACAATCTGCAAAGTCTTATTACAAGGGAACATATGAGTGGATAACAAAGTGAAAAACATACATTTGAATGGCCGAGATAAAGCTCCCAAAGAAACCAATCATTCCAAGGAATTCTGCTCTGCTAAAATTCTTGACAACAAACTCTTGAGCAACATTGGAAACTCCATACATTATAGAACCACACAAGACCAGCATGTCCCCAACTACTTGATTTTTGCCTGCAAAATCGAGGAACAAACAAATGCAAGTTAATATAATGGAGTGAAATGAACACTAATGTTAACATCATGCAATGTTGGCATCTTCTGTGGGTTGTTGGCCAGTGGTCAGATTGGTGGGGCAGGCACAGCTGCCATGCATGGTACAGGATTTTGTGGCCACTAATGGGTTTCCATAAGACATTGGATCTTGTGTTTACCATTACCCTTCTCCCTTTCTAGTCTGGGTGATGGGTGCCTGGTTCTGTTGGTGTGGGGGCTCCTGGCTTGGAGGTGCAGATTTATCAGCCATAGGGACAACTCTGTCTTGGGGATGGCTATGCCAAAAAGTAGGAGCTGCCGGACAAATTCAAGCACCACCTCCACAAAGCAATGCAGTTGGTTAACGGTGAAAAAAAAATGCATACCGCAAACTGCCGCTTATAAGCCCTGGGCTTATACCAGTTCATAAGAGGTTTTGGGTGGGCTTATAAACGGGGGGACTTATATCCGGATGGGCTTATAAGCGGGTGAAAAAAAGTGTTTCGAAATGAGCAACAGCACTGTCGATCGACGCATGATTTAACTTCATTACTCTTAGGATTGAAGCCTTGAAAAGGCAGCAATAAATGGAATTCAGTTAAATTTCAAAACAAAATCTTATAAGCGGATGGGCTTGTAAGCGGCAGTTTACGGTATAACAGATGAAACATTAAACAAGAATCATGTGCTCATACTTCATTCCAGAGCATAAAATTAGTGCTTGTGTGGTTTTCATTTATAATGACCAAGAGGACTGTCATTAGAGTTTTAAGTAGCTTGTCTCTCAGGGAAAGTCCCAGATCATCATTCTTCCCACATGTTATAGTTGACTCATTTTCATAATTAGAAAAGCTGGCTGATTGTACTGCAGTAATGGGTGAGAAAAGCTGGCTGTTTAATTGTTACTCACAACAGCCCTCAACCAAAGAAAGCCTTACCTTAATACCCCATCATCCCCCAACTGAGTAAGAGAGAAAAGTAAAGTAAAATCATAACTTAAAGCTGTTGAAACGTTTTCTTTTGATACCTGGTAAATCTTAAACAAATCATGCAGACAGTTCACATTAAATATACAGCTATTTCAAGACAGGTTGTCAGAAAAAATGNCACATGTTATAGTTGACTCATTTTCATACTTAGAAAAGCTGGCTGATTGTACTGCAGTAATGGGTGAGAAAAGCTGGCTGTTTAATTGTTACTCACAACAGCCCTCAACCAAAGAAAGCCTTACCTTAATACCCCATCATCCCCCAACTGAGTAAGAGAGAAAAGTAAAGTAAAATCATAACTTAAAGCTGTTGAAACGTTTTCTTTTGATACCTGGTAAATCTTAAACAAATCATGCAGACAGTTCACATTAAATATACAGCTATTTCAAGACAGGTTGTCAGAAAAAATGTGCACGGGACAATCCCGAAAGGTAATATGGGATATGACAAATACACTGTTCCTGACATTGTGGCTGTTGAACTTACTTTTTTGCTTTCCTTTAACACTTGCAAACATGCGTCCATGGCCTCTTAAGCCATTCTTTCAAATTTCGTTGAAAAACAGTGAGCTCAAAACCACCCACAATACCTTTTAGGATTGTTGCATTCACTTTTTCCAAAAACCTTTCTTGAACAGCTGTATATTTATTTTTCCATCAAAAACTAATATGCAATTTCTCTACAAAAAGTCAACAAAATATCCCATATAAACTGTCCCACCTGCTCCATAATATCGAGAACCATAATAGTCTGCTATCACTAAACAGATGATGCCAACCAAGCAGATAACTACTCCAGAGTAATGGACACACTGATAACGAACTTTGAGGAAGATCCAAGAAAGAACTAAAACAGATGCCGTTGTAAAGCAGTCCAGAACCTGTATTATAATAGTTCATTTTAGAATACATGAAAGTAAACCACAACACAGCAATCTGATTAAGTCTACTATTAACAGAAATTAAATATTTTGAATTTAGAAAGAGAGAATCCCTTTTAAATCAGAGCCTAAATCATCTGGAATGGGTCCAGGATTTGTTTTGAAGGGGTTCAAATAAATGATTATTGGAAGGAGGTCTTCAGGTGTACAACATCATTCCCACAGAATATCTTCTTCTTGTCCGCCAGCGAAGCGAATAGAGACAACACAAGTATAGGAGAGAACCCCAATGGTGAGGTTGCTTAGGCATGTTCAACTAGAAAATTTTAACATTTCAGTCCTAGCTAGCATGCATGCTGAAGGAGAAATTGACCTTTTTTGATTGCTGAACATCAAGTGAATTTTTGTGTCATTTAGTTATTTTTACCACTGTAGGTTTTTGTTGTGACTGCACTTTTTAGATGTTGGCAGTTTCACGTTAGGGGGTTCAACTGAGCCATAGAACAATCCACCCAAGAATCATGTAACACACTAAAGACAAACAAGTCAGCCAGAGCTTTCTAACTCTCACTAAGCTAAATGCTGCATGGCAGAATGCTGTCGCTAGTTTTTGAAGAACTAAGCTTTACCCATAGATGACTGTCATCTGTGGGATTATCCATATTTAAAATAAAAGAAATCCTTATTAACCAAGTGTGAGATTAAGATGGCTGGTAGAGGGTAATGGTTTCAGAGACCCAAAATTAGAGAGGCTACTGTGCAAAGATGTTAACAGGATTATTGAGGCTTCCAATTTTATGGTTTGGGACTTTTTTGATCAGTTTTCTAGTTGCAAGCAGCTGTCAGTTTTTATACATGAAGGTTTATTTTTTCGGGACCTTCTATATTCGCTTCTGTTTCCAGTTTTGTTGTCTATAAGGCTAAACAGTTACAAAAATTTGGGTAAGCTCTTTTGAGAGTGTGAGCAAAATTTATCATTTCTTTTTTTTTGAAGTCTATGGTTTTTCAGTTTTCACATCTGATATTTCCAAAATGCATGCAGTTTCCTCATTTCAGTTTTTGTTGGTTTGTTTTTTTACAGTCTTGCAGTTTTCATCTCTAGGTTCAAAAGACGTTTCTGCTCACTTTCGATTAGATAACTGCACTCACCTGGATGCTTGTAAGGTTTGTGTACTGATAAGCTTTTACTACCAGAAAATTGGCTTCAACATCAAAAAGTGCTAAAAAAAAGTATTTCAATCCTCTTTCTTTGAGTTTCCTTTTAAAATCATTTGGATGACAAGCTAGCGCAGTTGTGTAAACGAGTCCTAATAATAAATAATTGAGAAAACTTTGTGTTGTTGGAATCTCAATGCCATAATTAGTGACCAACAGCTGACTGAATACACCAGTTCCACAGACAAACCAAGAAAGAAGCTGACCAAGGGCAAGGATCACAAGGAATTTCCTGAAAGTTATAAAAAATACAATTGATATAGAATTGTGATTATTAATACCTGAAAGTTAATTCGCCTGATGTCATTTTGCAGGGTCTTAAGTTAATTCACCAAATGACATACAACAACAGTGAACGTACTTATCAGAGACATTTTTTAAGTTAAGCCTGCATGAATTCCATTACGTTTACACTAGAAGAAGCTGTTGAACCACAACTGGGTCACTTTCATTCCAAGCTTAGTCCATTTTTCCGGCTTAAAGGTTGACAAACACACATCAGACAAATTGACCTGAGTGTGGGTGAACTGCCCTTAGGTGAATCTTGCTCCAAGAGGTTTAATTTTCACCAGGTACCTCGCAGTTCTCCCAGTTGCACGAAAACTAACATAATTTTCCGATTTTACTCTATGAATGTGCTACCATTAAAGCATTTATCATTTCCATTTAAATCTTTTAACTTATTTATTTGTGATACATAATTTACTCTCTTTTGATACAATGTTTAAGCTTTAGCTTAATGAATAAGACCAAATTACACACTGCCTCACTGCTACGTTGAAGTTCATGTCAGCTCAATTTTTGTGATGACTTGAAGTTATGTAAGGTTACTATTGATCCTTTGGTCACACAAATAATCCAGTTTCAAATTTTATTGAGCATAAAGGTCAGTTACTAGGTACTATTAACTTATCTATTACTAAGAACAGTTCTTACCGGTTGAAAATTCCCGCACAAAACGGAAAACGACTTGTGACATGTTCAACCAGTTCATCGGCCATCTTGGAAATTGGCCAATTCCATACATGGCCATAATGACCAAATTTGTCTTTACTGCATACGAAGGTTGTTTTGGCTCGGAAACCTCATACAGCGCGCGGAAGAGTTCGTTTCAGCGAAAAACTCTTGTTCCTTTGAATTCTTTGAGGTAAGGCATGGTATTGTTACTTTAACCGTTACATGATAACTTTTAAGTTTTATTTTTACGCGAGGCACTTTCTGTTGTTTTTCGAATATCATTTTACTTGCCTAATCAGCCACAATATGTAACAGCATTGAACGCTGGGCTCTAAAATCAGGCGGCTTGTGTTGGGTTATTTTTCGTACAGAAATTAAACATATTCAGCTGCAAGTAAGCTTAACTGTACATTATTGTCGAATTTGCAAAGAACACATTGTTTCTGTGAATGATACGATTAATATTCTTTTGTTGCAGAACTGCACTTCGGAGGGAATAAGCTGGCGACTTCGTAGTTTAGCTTGATCTGCAAAAAATTATGTTTCTGGTCGTTAAAGTTATTTTGTAAGTCTTATTAAAGATTCAAGTACTTGGAACATGATGGCGATGCAGAATCGACATAAAAGCGCAGATAAGGCCCGATTTAAGCCAAAATATTTTTACCAGTTCAGAATTATTTTAATCGGAGACAGTACTGTGGGGAAATCATCTCTCTTACGCCAGTTCACAGAGGGACAATTCATAGAAAATTCTGACCCAACTGTCGGCGTAGATTTCCATGTCAGAGTTGTAATGCTATCAGGTGAGTTTGTAAACATAGTGGGCACTTTTCTGATGATGTAAAAATAGTTCTTGGTTACTTTTGTACCTTCTGATATTGTAACTGCGATATTTTCCTTAAAATATCAGATCTTACGGATTTCTACAATTACAATACTACCTAGAATCTTCCAAGTTGCTGAAAACTGTGAAGCCTATTTTGGAATTTTTGTGTTGATACAGGCTTGGTTAAGCTTAAGCCTATATTTATGCATGTCATATTTAAAGATTATGCAATGCAATTTACTTGAACTTAGTATTAAAGATTCGTTTATAGCCAGTTGTCCGGACAGAGTGCTATTTCATAATAGATTTCTCGAGAATTTCGCAGTATTGGAGCAATTACTGCATATAGGTGTTTTTACGGGGCTTAAGTAGAGAATAATACTGATACTTTACAAACTCATCAATATTCAGTAAGTAAGCTTTTATTGTCCAACTGAATGCATGAATTAATTTACCAGTGGTCTGAAGCCCCCTGACAGCTCCCTGCTCTCAGAGATGACCAACTCCGCCTAGGCATGGAATATGCTGAAAATAATGGTTATTGCCTCCTGGACTGGAAATATGCAGGATGGACACTCCAGAGCCGTTAAAATCGATGGATTATAGTTATTGTTAGGGGTCTTTCCTTGAGAATCTTATACCAGTCCTATAAAGGCTTGTGAGACTTTCTGCTCAATATTAAAACTAAAAGTGAAATATGTTATAATAATGATTGTTGTTACTGTAAATGCAAAATGATTTTTGGGCAGATAATTAGTAAACAAAAGCAATGTAGACGCTTAAAACTGTGCACCTCTGTGTCACTTTTTGTTTGAATAACTCAAGTTCACCAACATTTCTTATTTTCTTTTATTCTATTCTGAACTTTTAAATAAAAAATGCTTGTAAAGGACAAGACATCAACCAAATGAAGTACTCCAGGGACAAACTTTTCAAACCATTCAAAACATTCAGAGCGAGTGTTTTATCAAGGTTAATGTACTTGCTCTCAGTGTTTTACTAAACCTTTTTTAGATTATTAACCAGCCAGGTATTTTCAACCAACAAAGGGTTTTAATTCTAAGGAACATTTTAAGCTATCAAATTATTTGTGTGTTTTCAACAGCAGATGTGAGAATAAAACTGCAGATCTGGGACACAGCAGGACAGGAGAGATTCCGCTCTATCACATACTCTTACTACAGAAATACGGTTGGATGTTTAATAGTTTATGACATTACTAGCAGAGAGTCTTTTCTCCATGTCAAAGACTGGCTTAGGGAGGCAAGGCAGTGTGTCGAAGAACAGGACGTTGTATTCATGTTGGTCGGTCACAAGATTGACAAAGAGTCAAGAAGGGTTGTCTCCACTGAGGAAGGAGAACGCTTTGCTGAGGCAAACAATATGATGTTCATAGAGACATCTGCTAAGGTTTTATGTAATATTGAAGAAGCCTTTATTAGTGTCACTGAAGAAGTTTACAAACGAATGGAGAGAGGTGACTTAGGGCTAAGGGATGGCTGGGATGGAATTAAAGCCCTGCCGATGCGACCTACTGATGTTCTGGGCATTGGACATGCTGCGTCAGCTGAAGATTTACTTGAACAACAGGAATCTAGAAAGTGTTGTAATTAATGTAGCAGTTAATTAAGAATATTACAATGAACAATATTTTTAATATTTGCTCTCTTCATTTTAATTTGCCATTTCATATAAAGTATAAAATACAAGGGTGATAGGAAGGAAAGTGGACTATTTCAGAAAATCATATCAAGTTACTGGTATTCTTGTAGGGTGAATAATAATTTTAAACCACTATTGGATGAGGTTTTTGTGATATCCAGAATGATCAAAGTCGAGGTAAGTGTTATCAGCCGAGCCTAAGGCCGAGGCTGATAACACTTACTGAGACCTTGATTATTTGGGATATCTCAAAAACTGAATCAAATAATTGTTTTATTATACATTGTTTTGAAGAAAATAATGACAAACACACCGTCGCAAGGAACCTGAATTGATATTGTCGGTGGAAATCATGCATAGCACGTGTAACCTACAGATTAGTCAATTTTCTGCTAGCAAATAACTAACTAATCTGTAAGTTGTGCTGTTTTCCAAAATTAGCTGTAGGCTCTTAGCCAATGAGAAGACAGTTAATGAGTACAATGTATAATAAATTCTATTATTGTACAGCATGGACTATGCATTTGCTATAGTATTGTCGTCACCTTGGCTTGAAAAATGGTGAAGTCAGTTTAGAAGACTTCATCTAAAACAACTTTGAGGAACTAACTTTAATATTGTTAGGGTTCTTATTACATGTATACAGACGCAGATTTACTGACAAGTTTGTTGTACAATTCTATGCTTCCACAGCATCAGCGTAACAATATAAGAATTAAGTTATCAATTATTCTTTAATACATGGGCAATTAAGCTATGACGACAGTACTTTGCTCACTCAAGTACAGTCAGGTGTATTCAGTTTTTTCTTGTCTTGAAGAATGCCAGCTGGCCCTTTAGTTGTGAGAAACAAAGGTCCTTTTAGAAATCCATTAATGTAGTTTGTACCGAACACTTTTTTGCAAAATGTTTTGAAAAATATTATTTGTGGGTGAAAGTATTTATCTGAAAAGTTCAAGGTGTTGTTTAAGTCACTTTTCAGCTGTTTTGTGTGCTTGCAAGGGGAGTGATGGAGAATGAAAACTAAAACAGTTTGAACATTGAGTCTAAGGTACTGTGAAATAATATTAATAATATAACATTTTTTTATTCGTATTTTACACAGGTTTTGTCGCAAATTTTGTTTTTTCTTAATAGCATTAATGTTAGATTATAGTTTAAATTTCCAGAATTTGTTTTAGTAACAGAGTGCTTGAATGGGCAAGTGTAACTGAAGAGTTAAGTCTTTATTTTAATTTAATATTTTTTAATGTTTCCAATTTCCAAGGCGCCTCGCATCTGTTCTAAGGCCTCAGAGGATCATATTGGTTCTGAAAACAGTGGATGAACAAGTTAACAATGGAGTCTAGCCCTAAAACAAAAGAGCTCTGAGATAGAGTAGTCCAATGAGATCCAATGAAGTTTTAGGTTTCAAAGAGGTGCAAGGTGACTGTGGTTTCTCACTTAAGCCTAAACCAAAAGGCAGGCCAGTTAAAATGGACACTTCTTTAAAGAGTTTAAGGAAGAAATGTGAGTGCAGTATTATAGGCAAATTAAAATAGCCACTTCTTTAAAGAGTTTAAGGAAGAAAAATATGATTGCAGTGTTGACAAAATTTAAGCTCAATGTGTTGTGGCAAGTGTCTAGCTTTGCATGTACTAAGTCTCATCATAGATGCTGCAGGAATTGTTCAGTCATAGTGGAGGTTTTATGTCTATCAAACTCTTCACTAGTGTTTTAACCTGAAATCAGGTTTTTAGGGAAAAGGGAAATCTCATGCCTATAGACTCTTTAGGAAGGCTTAAATATTGAGGTTCTAGGTTTCAGTTTATGAATTTGGTAAATAAAATTCTGGCAGGTGAAATGAAATAAAATGTATTAGCATAGAAATGTAAGATAATAAAAGGAAGGAAGCCTGATCACAGGTCACATTGCTTGGTCCAGCAGATGATTAGCCTGCAGGCAGGCTCCCTGGTGCGAGTTTGAGGAAAATGTTGGTGGCGAAGCGTCCACCATGCGAGGAAAAATCACTTTCCTTGCACAATGGCAGCCCTGCTGGATTGTTTATTTGTAATGCTTATTATTATGTAGCTGTGTGTAGTCATCCTGGTAGAAATTAGAACTTTTCGGTATCCATTGTAGTATTATCGTTATTTTTTCTCTTTTTTGCCTCTTACATTAAACACTGGGAAGCTTAAACACTCACCACAACATCAGCAATGATAATAGGTTTTGTAAGGGGAAACAACTCAACTCAGTTAATAAACGCACAACAGCCAATTGTTCTTTTTAAGTGCCCAAAGCTTACTAGTGATGCGAGGGTGTCTGTACAACAAGGAACACCCACTTGAGAGGTCGGAATCCCCCGGAACCCCATAAAATATCAAAAAAAAATTGACAAAGAATAATTATAGAAACAAAACACCTAAAATATCATTAATGAATCATCATTAAAGATGTTTTATCTGTAACTAGAAAACGGAGATGGGTCAAATTAATGACTTCCCACTACGACTTCCGAAGATTTTAAGTTTAATTAGTCGTGCCTGAGATAACCTGAACGAGCCAGTATCACGTCGAAAATAAAAAAGCCGATTTATTCATGTACTCATGTACACCAAAACACTGTTGGCTAAAACGTTAAATTAGACTGACTCATGTCATCCTCGGAGACCCAGGGGCATATTTTCCGCCCGTTTAGACTTTCCCTCGCCCCCACTATCTGCCCCTGGGTCTCCGAGGATAGACTCAGGTGGGCTTTACAGTAATTTCTGTTATGTTGTGCGATGGACTGTTCTGATTGGCTAACATCGTTACGCAGTGAGCAAAACACCCCTCACGACCCCTCCCCCCTACTACCACAACATGAAGAAAAAAGAATCGGACGTTGAATTTTCATTCAAAACAATGACCTCAAATTGACTGAAATACTGCAAATCTTGTTCCAAAAAGTTCTTATTTTAGAACAGAAAGGGCCAAATTTAGACCGTGTTAAAATACTTAGAAAAATTTTTTTTTAAATTTTAAAATGATGGCTGAAATCCCAGAGGCTTAGTATTGTTCTGTCTTTTGTTTACTTTAAACAATACAGTGTATTGCATAATTTATATCTCGGGGTATACTGGAATCATGCCAAACTAGAAATTTGTGAATAACTGAGCTACTCTAGAGAAAAGTTACAAGTAATTTTATTAAGCCACAATTAGTTCCGTCTCCATTCGTAATTTCCTTTTTAATTATCAACTTCCTGTACAAGTAGTTTTTGTCTGAACGCTTTGTAAAGCGTTAGAGGCTGTCCAATGCTGCGCTATAAGATTTGTCTGTTCAGATTAATCACAGTTTCCCAGCGTAACTTCTATGCAGCATTCGCAGGGCTGGGACACTCTTGAAGTCCGTCGACATCTGAACGCCGCTACCATAATGTATAAAGCTGTGCATAACTGGACTCACTTAACATTTCCAGCATCTGTCACCTTAGCTCATAGAAGCAATCGCTCTAACCATCCTCATAAGTTCAGACATATCTTTGCTCGCACCAATGCATATAAGTTTTCCTTTTTCCCACTTGTTATCCCCCTTTGGAATGACCTTCCCAATTCTGCTGTTTAATAATGCTAAGTCTGTTACTGACTTCCAAGCGAATGCTTTGCCATCCATAAGACAATATTGCAATGTAATGTAAATATTTATTTGTTGCAAATAATTTAATTTAGTTTTTTTTTTGGCCTCCTTTTCTATTTCGCCGCTGACTGTTTTAACATCCAGTATAGTCACATGACTTCTAGGATTATATAAAAATGAATGTATGTATGTAACAAATGTATTACTGATAGAATGGAGTAAAAAAGATATAAATGATACAAATTCAAGCCGGCAAGCTTAAAACAAGTGAAAACGAATGCCGACGCCAGCGCAAAAAGTATTAGTTTTCAACTTTCCTGGCAAGATGAGCGCATCATCGGCCTCGGGGCTGTTGGTCAAATCATGGATGACTAAATATTCGAGTTCCCGACTCGTTCCCGACGTAAAATACAGCCTCCTACTCAACCACTCTCAGGGTTCCACCTTTGTTTAAAGCCAAAACATTAAAGAGTTCAGTTTGGAATGAGAATCTAGCATTTTATCTCAAGTTCGTTTGACCTTTTTCCAGGCTCCTTCCGCATTAGACAGCCCTTGGCGACACAGTATCACGGTCCGCACAGAGCCAGGGACGAAACAGGATCTGCGATCGTCCAAGGCCCGAACCGCTGAAGGGGTCTGGAGCCTAGGAGGCATACCTCCCAGGAAAAATTTGAAATCTAGAAAACTGTTACGAAGTTTTCAGTATTTTTCATAATTTTTCTCCAGAAAAATCTTTATTTTTTCAGCTGGAGATTGTTCTTCCATCCAACTATACATCGATATTTTTTTCAAAAGTTTGGATGAAATCAATGAAGAAAGACCAAGGGCAGTGCCTCTCCTTGCCTTTCAGTAGCTAAGAAAGTCAGATGCCTAACGAGAGCCTTGTTACGTCCATGAAGCTAATGTGTGTCTGCTGGCCCCGTGACTGCTTTGTTCTAATTTTGGGGTAGATTTTCTATTTGTTTTTCACTGGCTGGAGATGGGGCGAAAAGACGTTCACAAATTTCTTCGTAGTCGCACGGTTTTGTTTTGTTTGGAACGAAGACCCTCGCGACCGCGTCGCTCGCTAGGCGACCTCATTAAATCTTGCTTCGCTCTCTTTGAGGCTACCGACAAACTTCTACCCAGTGTTATTGATTTATTTTACATCCGTGTTGCTAATAAAAAGAAGCCGATCTGGTGCAAGTCTAGCGAAACAGATAAGCGTGAAACGAAACGGGTGTTAAGAAATTTCTTTTTTTCCCTTGCCACACTAGCCTGAATTTCCGACACCCCTTCGAGTCGCATACTCCCTCAGTGACATTTGAGCCGTTAATGCCGTCACGTGATGTCACTGAGGGAGCATGCGACTC